TTTCGAAATTGATAAACTTCGGCCCAAAATTTTACAGGTGAGTCTAAATTACTCCAGGTATGTAACGTTAACCGTTGCCATTGCATCTCTATGGATGTTATTTCGTCGGCATTATATTTGTGCTTTTGTTGCTGTAGTTGAACAAATACTTTTGGTTTAATTACTCTCAATGCATTTCCAACCGAAAAAAGTCGATTTTTTGTAGTGTGGCAATATTTGTAGGGAGGCGTTGGCGTAATTCCTTTATTAAAGTGATAATAAAATAGCGACCATTTTCTCGAATTATTTTCTCGGCTTCGTGGTCAAAAGCGTTTGTGCTTACTTTTGTTTTTAAATACTCTTCAAAACTGTGATAAAACTGAGGAAATGGAGCAAGGTATGGTTCCAACGGGGAGCATATAGGATCAAATGTGTCCGCGCTAATAACCACTAGGGAGCATAGATGCGAAAGTAAAACATTGAGTTCATTAAAAATCTTCATTGGGTCTGCATTATTGCTTTCGAACAACTTGTTTACTTTTTGCACCTGAAAATTAGGCAAATAGTAAAATCGGCTAAAAACGGCTAACTTTTTTTTACAAACCGGCTAACAAATCGGCTGCCGGCTAGATCGAATTTTCTCCGGCTAGTTGCTATCAAAACCGGCTAAATCTAGCCGGAAAACGACTAAAATGGCAACGCTGGTAATAAAGTACTTTAAATTCCATTCTTGACTTACAATCCACTGTAGTTCCGATAGAGTTGCACAGCAAAAGCTGATAGCATTTATCTATACTTTCGGTCTGATTGTTATTTTCTTTAGTATCGCTGACATGAATATCCTTCATATTAGTATTTAAGCATTCCACAACAATAACGCAATGCTCATTGCAAGCTGCCATTCCTAATGCTGGCTCCACTTCCTTTAAGAAACTCTGAAAATAATATATTATACGTATTTTCAATCATATTGAAGCCAATAATCAACCAGCCACACCTGATTCGAAATGGTATTCCAGAAAGTGATTACATTGGTCGTTGCGTTGCGTGTAAAATTACTGCTGTTCCTGTTTAAAAATACGACAGTTTTCTCAAAGTAACACCACATATAATCCGGACGTATGTTGGCGAAATAGATGAATGAATCAACAGCCATTGCTATGCGTAGCGACTTCCCTTCCCAAGAAAGCGATGCGATATCATAGCCTGGTACCTTTAAAGTTCGCAACAGCTGACCGAAAGGTGAATAAAAGCTTACTTGATTCAATTCCTTTGAGCTGGGATAGTCTATAAGAGTACCGCAGATGGCTAACACGGAACCATCATGATTCCACTCAGCGTCTATATTACGCATGCCAGTGTCGATAAGTACGGGCGCTTTATACGTAAAATATATGAAGAAAAAATTAAGTATGTTCTTAATGAACGTACATACATAAGGACTGAATCGAACATAATTTGTAACTTTTGAAAATGCCCTTGAGATAGACTGTCAAAAAGTACTAATTTTTTTCAACGGCAATAGTTCTGTTCGCTATGCCAATGCCAGCAGAATAAGGTATCTTACTCTCCCAAAGAGAGAAACTTACTAAGTTTTGTGCGATCAGGAATTAGCAAACATTTGGAAGCTTCACTGCCACTGTCCCTTTGAAATGTTTGGAATTAATTGAATAAACAAATATTTATATACTTAAATACTGCGAAAAAAATGTGGAACCAGTCAGTCTATGGTGCAAAGATGCAAGAAGAGAAATAATTTAGAAAATCGGAAGAAGCAAAAAGCGGCAAAGGCTAGCGAGAAGCAGAAAAAAACTATAAAAACACGAGCCCGAAAGCTGTGCAATTTGATGAGAGAAAAAAGCTTATGTCATTTTAGACGTTGAAGCCTACGTAAAAGCATACTTCAGCACGCTTCCAGGACCGCAGTACTACACGAAATTCAAAGGCGAAACACTCCCAGATGCAGATACTTCAATCAATATTGAAAAATCTGGAGCTAAGTATCTTGTGTGGCAGGCAATTTGCCAATGTGGCAAAAGGACCCCTCATTTGTGACAACAGGCACAATCAACAGAGAAATGAAAATCAAGGAGTGTTTAAAAAAAACACTCCTGCCATTTGTTTTGGATCCACCATTAACTTTCTTGAATTTAAAAACACTGACTTCGTTCCAAAAATAGTGAATCCGCCAAATGTCCCGCAGTGTCGGCCCATTGAGAGGTATTGGGCATTAGTTAAAAGCACGCTACGAAATACCAAAGAAACCGCTAAAAATGTTCAGGATTTCGACTTGAAATGGAACAGACTCACAATGCAGGTCAGTGACAGCACTGTCGTAAGGTTGATGAAGGACATACAGAAAAAGTTGTGGCAGTAGTGGGAAAAAATGTGATCTCGAAAATTTTTCGATAGTAAATAACATGATAAAAACATAACAAGGTAAATTCATTCTCTCATTTCGTCGGCCATGATTTTTTTCTGACGTTTGCCAACATTTTAAAATCACATAAAATTGAAAATAAAAAAATTAAATTGTTCACAATTGTTGTTGTTTGAGATTGAAAATGAGAATGTGTGTGTGAGTTTGAGTTTTGATTTTAATATTATATTGTTGGCAAACGTCAGACTGCCTCTCAATGGTTTTACCTTGTTATGTTTTTATCATGGTAAATAATATTGCGTAAAATATGGAATTTACAACAAATCAAAAAATTTAACCAGCCTACTTGTTTATACTGCTTAAAAATTTTAGGCTACGTTCGGTTCAGTCCTTATGTACGAGTTTTTTTATGCATGCATTTAGACTAAGCTACCACTTACTGTCATCGCTTTCATTGCGCATAATCTGTAATTTGCAAGTCTCATAGCAAATGGCTAATACTGGGCGATTAGAAGATGTGCGTCCGCTAAACCAGCACAGTGCCGAGATCCTAAAGTTTCGATTCGGACTCAGCGAAACACACTGTATATTCAGCTTCATCTATTTCAGAGTAGAAAGAAACTGACTTACATATCTGCGCATACATTCATACACATCCATGCACGAATAACCATTTTAATTACCCACCGCGAAATTCCCTTGATTATCGTACAAATGACATTCGCCAGTTGCTAAGCCAAATATTATCAGTCGATTATCGGGGCTCCATTGTACACTGGTTAAATGCGTGTTCTTCAATTCCTTTCCCCAGATGCGATTTCCATCAACCGAGCCTTGAAATATGCAACGAATTATAATTATTTTGTAAGTACGCACATAAAAGCGCATCGAATATCAATCGATGCGTACATGCAACATGCAACAACATACGTACTTATACACATATCTAATTACATTGCAATACCTACCAACAATAATAGCACCATCCTCGTAAACTATACAAATCTTTGCACCATCCGATGTCCAACTCATGCTATTTACGGTGGACTTCTTACGATCATTGGTCATCTCTTCATACCAGGAACCTTTGTAGAGCATCCAAACCATAATCACACCATCCAGATCGGACGATGTCAACTTCTGTTGTGTCTCATTCCAGGTAACAACTTTGACGGCCTCTTTGTGTCCATCTAATGTTTGATTCATTGACAAGTTGGATACCGCAGCAAGATTACCTTTATTTTGCCCATTGGATGCTAAAGTCTCTATTAATGAAGGGCATACCCTATAGAACGGAAAAATGTTACCTTGCTCTAATTTTAACACTTTCAGCAATCCCTCGGAGCCGGCTACGGCTATGTAGCCCTGATCTTTGTTCCACGCAATGCAATTCAGTTTTACATTATTTGGTATTGCAATCTGAATATAATATATAATTCATTATTAACACTATATAGATATAGTATAGAAATGCTTTTTAAAAAAATACCCACCTTTTTACTTAAATAGACGAACATTTTGCACAAGATTACTTGTTTTTTCTCTGTCTTATGCGGGTACCATGGCGGATACAAACAAATGTAGAAAATTACGTTTACGACCAAAACGCATAACAAAACTCGTTCCCATGGTGCACCGTTTTTTTGTTTACCATCGCAACCACCTGCTAGTATACGGCTTGTTGCTCCGATTCCATTTGTATTCTTATGAACGCTCACACACATCCGTCAAAACTGGTCATTCACATATGCGCATATGCGAATGCTTTGCTTACGCACACAGTTGAGTGTGAGCTTGAAAAATAGGCATATTATGCATTTTAAATTAGTTTTAATTCTATAATTCTGCAAAATGTTAAGTAATAACGAAGACATTGGTCAAAATAAAAAGCTCACGCTCGCATTGAACTGTATACCTAACAGACTTAAGAGTTCAAATTGAAGGTGTTTCCCTTCTTCCGAATGTCGACTTATGTACATATCGTCGCCTGGGTAAAAGATTGTCGTAAGCGCAGTTTTGATGATTTTTAGTTCTAGATGCAGTTATATTTTTTTGAAATAAGCTCTTTCGATTGGTGTTATCAGTTTCTAGATATCCCCTTTAGTTTCCGAGATATTGAAGATATTTTTCGATAATTTAGTAATAATTTAGTTAGTGATGCAGTCATATTAAACTAATCAGTATCTTAAAAATGGGGTTCTCCATTTTTGGATACCTCCTTTAGTTTCCGAGATATTGAGTAAAAAGTGTCGTTAATTTAGTAGAAATTTTGATCACATTTTGTCGTATTTCACACAAAGTGCCTGCCAAATTGTGGACAAATGACGCTTACGACAATATTTTACTAAAGAAAATCCTTCATAAACTTAAAACTAATTAACAATAAACATTAAAAATTAAATAATTTAAGAATTTTGTGAACTACTAACATTTGCAGAGACTTTGGAGAAGATCTATCTTCGCGTTTTTGAGAGATTGCATTCCAAACTTCAAACGCGATTTCCCACAACCTGCCGAAATTAACATACGACAATCTTTTACCCAGGCGACGATATGTACAGTGACGAGCAAAACTGTAACATGGTTTAACACTTTCTGCCTTAATTTACATTTTTGTCTGCTGGTTTTTTTATTGTTGTTGTATTGACTTCAAATCATTATGAGAGAGGGAGTAGGGATGTACCAACAAGAATATTCAACAAAAGGATGAAAGTCCTTAGAACTTGGAATTAAACCATGTTACAGTTTTGCTCGTCACTGTATATGAGCTTTAATTCATACATCAAATGAGCGTCGATATGACTCATCTCTTATTGGCCTCATATACGGCTCGTTTTGGACTCTTTTTGAGGCTCTCAAATGACTCTTATCGGCCTCATAAATGGTTGTTCTGCGAATCTTAATGGCAGTGTTGCCAGTTTAGCCTTTTTGAGGCTAGATCTAGCTTTTTTCTTTGTCGTTTAGCTTCGAAATTTAGGATTTAGCTTCACGGCGTTTTTGTAGTATTTTATCCTTTTAAAACTAGCATTTTTTTAAGAACAATCCTCCACAATATTTGTAGTAGCACTAAATTATTGTTCCGGTTCAGTTTTACTTGACGAAATGTTAAGCGAATATCACCCAGCGGCATCGCTCCGTCCGACGAAATTTGCTCAGCGAACTCGTTCTGTTTATACTTTAACAGTTTTTTCAGGGGCTCTTAAGTGTCCCTATTAAACTGAGATAAGCATGTTATTTCTTAGAACTCTGTACCCCACGGGATTGACGTCAAGCACTACATCGTAAGGGAGAAAGGTAGTTAGTCGCCGCTGCTATGCCGTAGCCATTCGGGGGTCCTTAGCCTAGGCCTGCCAACAATTTCTAAAAATGTATAGTACTTTTTCTAAAAAATCTGAAAAAATAGAGCACATTTAAAATATATATAGTATTTTTTTAAAGAAAAAGTAAAAATGCTTTTTAAGCGTACATCTTTTTTCTTTCTTATGTATTTCCTCTATAAAAAGATATATTTCTTTGAAAGTATCATATGCTTTATCGCTATAAATATTTAAATTAATATAAATCAAAAGTTCATTTTTTATTAGTGAGATATTCGCTTTATTTTTCTCATCTCACCATTTCAAAATCTTAATAGAAAAAACTCCTTCTGTGAATGCCGAAGTTGCAGGAATGGAAATCACAAGCAAAATAATTTAAAGTAAATTTGGTAAACCCTTCTACGTATTTGTAAAAGTGTTGCCATTTTTGATCTGTGGACCTTTTGTTTCAAAGTAGATTTATTTTAATATTGATATTTCAATATCATTTATTTTAAAGCATTTTTAAAGCAACCCTCCCCTTTATTATTAAAATAGTTTTATTAAACAACTTTTAGCATTTTATATGATTTTTTCGTTTTCTTGAGAACTGGAAACAGTTCCTAATGACCTAAGTGAATAAGTTAGTAATATTGTCAGAAAAATTTCGGATATGCAGTTTTGTAGCCCATTCAATTATAGTGCAATAAAGTGCAAGTTTCAAGGGACTTTAAAATAGCCCTGATTTTTGATTTTTTTTTTTTATATTTTTTAATGACGGTGCTACGCATTTTATTCCATATAAAAATTTGGCGAGCATACTTTGTATGAGAGAAAATGCGCAGCACCATCACCAAAAAACTTGTCAAAACTCACCGCTATTTTACAGTCACTTGAAACTTGCACTTTATTGCACCCCTTTGTTAACATTTTTTTAACTCTGTATAAAGTTTTAAAATCGGATGTAATGAATATTAAATAAACAAAATAAAAATGTAAATACTAAAGATTAAAAAGTTGAGCTTTTCAAATGAGAATTTCAGATGTACATGACGTGTACAATTAATATATTTTTTATGATTTCGTATAGGCAATTAACTGTGCCCTAAACTTTGACGCTCCTACAGCATAAATTCAGTTCTCTGGCTTTCGGTATCACGGCAAGTTTTGTGTATAGCAACAATTTTCTAAAATTGTTGCATATGACAACACCGAATTTTCTGCAGTTTGACCCAAGGCGAATTTATACATGGTGATGTTGTAAAATCAGCTGATTTCTTCGCTTTACATGTATTTTGTTTTTGCTTTTACTGACTTGACAGCACATCCATGGAAGAAACAGGAAAGTTTCAATGTTCGCCAGGGACATTTCTAGAAGTAAAAACTAGTTGGCGCTATCATAAAGTCACATAGCAGGCAGCCAAAAAGCATATTGTTACGATTATCCTTGACCCCTCTCGGTTCGTATCGCTGGATTGTTAAATAAATGCTAACGATGACCAAATTGTAGTACAATTATCTTTATTGTACAATAAACAATTTACAATACTCGCTAATACAGTAAAAACACTTTACAATACTTGTTAAAGCAATTACAACGCTTTACAAAACTTGTTTACACAATTAAACTTATAGCACTTTACTTGCAGCTTGCTGACTTGTAACTCACTCCGGTGTTTGGTGGCGCCCTTATATACCTGCGCTCGCACTTATGGTAACTCTAGAACGTTCTGAAGTTCATCGCTCATTCTCTTTCTCTCGCTGTTCGCAGTGTTCATCCAACTTGACATTACTCTTTGTGGAACATTGTACGTCATTCCTCGAACATTCTGCCTATTTCTCGTTCGCTTTGTGTTGCCGCAGTATTCGCCACAATATAAATACCAAAATTCGAAAACTGCAATTTCGTTTGTTTACAAAAATTGCAACCATATGTTTTGTGATCATATGTTTTCGTGTTGGATAATTTTTGCTGGCTAAAGTTTTTCCAGTACAAAATGAACGCTTTCTTGCATCAAAATTTTTTATTCAAAATGAACGCTTGCTCTCTCAATTTTTGTGAGTTGGATCATTTTTTGTCGTTATCGAACGCCATCCATTAAAAATTTTGGCAAAAACTATTACAAATTTTTGACATGTCGAACGCAACTATTGGCTGATCTTAGTTTAAACCAGCCAGATGCATTTAAACGTAGTTTAAGCCACGGCCGTGCACTGAAAAACTGGCCCTTAAACAACCTTGAAAAATCAAACTTTTCAAGGGAAATATTTTTAATTCAAAGCCTGTCCCTTAAAGCCCGTTTAAATACAACTTTGGCGTTGCGTTGGCGTTGGCGTCACTTCGACAGCTGACTATGAAACATGGATTTATATGAAAGTCTCCATATAACTAAAGTTGGGCAACGCCGACGCCAACACAACGCAGAAAGATGGCCAACTCTCAACTTTTCGCGTGCGTCGTTCGTCAGCTGTTCTAAATTATCAAAATTATGTGATACAATTTTGATTTATCTGCCGCTAGTGTGTTAATTTAGTGACCAAAGTATTCTCTGCTACGCGTTCATTGTAGCAAGCACGGGCGTTACTCGCGGTGCTGTCAAAGCGACGACAGCGCCAACGCAACGCCAAAGTTGTATTTGGACGGGCCTTTAAAGTCACGTAAGTTAACAATTGTTTATATTGACAACCACGAAGAAGGAAATACATACTTGTAGGGTTCAATCGATACCACTAAGGTATCACTCTACTGAGTACTTGTACTCAAAAGCCTGAAAGTATCGACACCTACTCAGTATCGGCAAAGTATCGAGTACTTACTTGAATTGTTTTCATCTTCTCTTTCGAGAGATACTTCCCTTTTTTGTTGTAAAAGGTCGTATGATTACGTCTCATCATGGTTTAAAACATTGTATGTCAAAATCAAATAAAAAGCCAATAAAGTTGCAGGTATAGAAGACGTATATATTTAAGCTATTTAGTAAGAATGCAAAATAATTATTAATTAATATTTGTAGCACATTACCAAGGAACAGTATTGATTATAGTTTTTTCAGTCATATGAGTGTATAGGTCACCCCATGAACGAAGACACAAGATCACGCGGGAAGGAAAGAACGAAAAAAGTTATTTTCTAGCTGCCGAAATCTCGACGCCATCTTTGTTGTAAGAAGTAAACAACGAAGAGAACGGAGAAAACCGCGAAATTGTTGAACGCATGAAAAATCATTTTTATTATGCAAATTCTTCTAAAAATCATGCCGTTGTGTTAAATTATTCTTTATCTTATGTGTACACACGTTGTCACAAGCGAAAATGAAGAAAATTGCAGTAAAAAGCCACCACCAAATTGTAAACAACGAAGAAATGTAAATAAACGGCTAATGTCAAAATCGTTAATCTTTTTTTACTTAATGCGATTCTAACGGGCTACTCTCCTGCCCGCGTGATCTTGTCTTTTTGGTTCATGAGGTCACCCAGTATGGAAAAGTTTCGGATTTTTATTTGTCTCTTTATTTTCAAATTAGTTTTATTGATTTTTTTCATAAATAATATAGTTCATTCCATAACAAAAACCTTGTTAATCCAAGTTTAAAACTTTGTACAAAAATTAAAAGCAAATCAAGAAAGTTTCATCAAAGACCGTAGATTATAAAAAGGGACAACTCGTGCTTTCTCTTTTGCGCTAATACGTTTTCATCAAAAATCCACACTTTTGATTCTGAATAAAAAGTGTTTAATTTTGGTGAAACTTTGATTTTCTTTTAATTTTTGTACAAAATTTGAAACTTGGATTTACATGGTTTTTGTCATAGAATGAACTATATTTTTTATAAAAAAGTAACTAAAATTAATTTGAAAATAAAAATTAAAATCCGACACTTATCCATAATAAGTATACAGCGCACTGCATCATTTACAAACTATTTATGAAAAAAAATTGTATTGTTTCTTTTGGTATATTGCTGAGGAACAATATTAGTTATAATTACATATATGACTTCATATAAGTATATTATTCACAAAATATTTATGAAAAAAATAGCTTTTGGGTCACACTGCCAAGAAACAAAAACTTTTCTAAATGCTTTCCAGACAAGCGATTTCTACCTTCTCTACTACATGACCGGACTTTTCGCGAAAACTCTAATAACGGGCGTCATTCGTTGAGTTGCTGTTGCAATGATAAAAGTAGTAGAAATTACTCTGTCGATACCAAGGTCTTTTTTTCCGATACGTACTCGATACCGAACAAAAAGGTATCGAGTAAAAAAATACTTGGTATCAAAAGAAAAGTATCGAGTATTTACTTGTATCGATTGAACCCTGCATACTTGGCGTGTGGAGGCTGAAGGTTCCTGGCTAAAAACAACAGTTAAAGATGACGGAAAACGATGGCAATCCGTATGACATGGATAGTTCCACATTTAACTCTGAGAAGTATTTGGAAAAGCTACTTAAGGTAATTATTTTATGGTGGAATGTCGTAACTGTGTTCTTTTTTCCGGTAAATTTGTGTATTTGTATGCATACGTGTGTCATTTCTCCACAGGATTGCACCCTAAAGCAGATCATGGACACCGAAACTGCAGTAATTAAAGACACCCAAACACTACATTCAGACATGCAGACCTTGGTCTACGAAAATTACAATAAATTTATCTCCGCGACGGACACTATACGCAAAATGAAAAACGATTTCAAGCAAATGGAATCTGACATGAACTTGTTGCGCACTAAAATGCAAACTATCACATCATTTAGTGAGCAAATCACAGATACGTTGCAAGGGACTCGTTCGCAATTATGCCGTCTATCTGAGAAGCACTCGTTGCTTAAAAGATTGCAATTTTTATCCTCCCTCCCTGCAAAGTTGAAGGCACTCATCGAGGAGCAGAACTATGCACAAGCTGTTCAAGATTATTTACATGCACAAAAAGTTTTTGCACAGTATGGCCAACAACCCTCATTTGATGGTATTCAGCTAGATTGTGAAGCTATTTTACTGGACTTGAAAGAGCGGCTGCGAACGGATTTTCAGATGGCAAGTAATTCAGCACAGTCGTTGAGTGAAATTGGCGAACTGTTATTGCAATTGGATGAGAAACCTGCGCATTTAGCCAATGATATGTTGACGTGCGCTTCAAAACGGCTCCGTGAACAAATTGTACTGCTGCAAGTATGTAACGCATGGAATGAGCATATATGTAATACTTCTATATTGGCAGTAAGCTAACTTCTCAATGTGTAAGCATTCCGAAATCAAAGCGAGACAGTCTAGTACCATTTTTGTCAATGTATTGTGTACTTGAGTGCCGTTTTTGTTTATGTGTTGTGTACATGTTTATTTATAAACGTATGTGTTCCTTTTCTTTCGTACGTGTTTATTGATATATCCGTACTGTAGTGTTTTCGGACGGTACTAGCTCTTACTGCCAATATAGGAGTATTACATATATGGGAATGAGACATAATTCGATTTATAACTACTAAGTATATGTATTTATGTACTTACTATTTATTTTCCTAAGGATCAAACTGAGCGAGATATGATCGAATTTGTCGATATGGGTATCGAAGGTTTCCTTAACGACTTAGCGTTAGTTGTTACTTCCTACTTCGACATGTTTATAGTAAAGTGCCATGAAACGGAAAGGTAGGTTTTGCATAAAAAACGCATTAATAAAGTTAAGTCAAAAACGCAATCTTTCGTTTAAGCGATGATTTCAAGGAGCATGCTTTGCGAGAGTTAAATATATTTCTCAACCAAAATGTCGATAAGTACTTGACCCTCGTACAAGATCGGGTTGAATCGGACATAGGCTTTGGCGATACACAAATAATGTTGCGTGCGCTGGATCGCCTGCATCGGCGACTGCTTGCTATGCGCAACATTTGTCGTGGTCTGGAAATAAAACGCAATACTGTAGATATTATAATAGCAGCAGCGCACCAACTTTGCGAAGTGCACACCAAAACACTGAAAGATCACTTTTCCGATAGCCTCAGTTCAGTGCGATTGGCATTAGTTTCGGCTAAAAGCGACAATAACAATGGCACTAATTTGAATGAGTTAATCACCAATTTGTATGTATCTATGGTAGAGAAAGTAAAAGGAGTATTACAAGATTTACTGGTATTTCTGCAAACGGATTGGTCGTTTAATATCAAAGCAGAATACAAAGGCGGCCTCTGCGTTGAAGGTGTACGAGAGAATTTACTAATTGGTAAATAATGTGCTTATAATTACACTTTAAGGTTTAACACAATTTTTTTCAGGCTTCATGCGTCACATTTCAAAGGTTATGTGTTCGTTCGCTGAAGCCTCAAGTTCAAGTCCGCCAAATCTACTATTAGTTCTATCAAAAACTTGCCTCGAAATGGATCAGAATGGTGTGCACATTTTGGTAAATAATGACGAAATACAGTAAAAAGCCGAATTTCATTTAAATGTATTACTTTTAGATTACTTTGGTTGATGACTTGTACGAAATCGACTCTGAGAACAGTGCAATATTAACACATGAAACAGAAATTTGCGCTGAAATGCGCGAAACAGCACAAACGCTGCTTGACGCTTATGTGCGTTTGCAAGGCACAAATATTTCTCAGGTTAATTGATTACATACGTACGCATATGTAGTTTTCGTATTTAAATTTAACCAATTATTTGTACATATTTCAGATGCTCCGCAAAAGCGTTGAAACACGAGATTGGCTAAACTGTCTCGAGCCACGTTCAGTGCGCGCTGTCATGAAGCGTGTAGTGGAGGAGCTTGGCTCAATTGAAACCGTTGTCGCCAGTCTCTATGAAGCAGGCGTACGCACAACGGCGAGCAGTGATTCTAGTCGAAAGACTCATTATAGTACTTTAATCACCTCTAAGCAGCAGTATCGTTCCAATTGGTCTAATTATACGCCGTCACAATTGGAATCGAGTTATGTCTCCAATATACATCGATTGTTCTCGGAACGTGTTGATATTTTTACCAATGTAGATTTTTCGAAAGTTTCAATAGTTACCGGCGTTATAAAGATTGGCTTAAAGGTAAATGTGATTAAAGGTAGTTTTGATAAAAGTTTTAAATTTGTTACTTGTATTTAGACCCTTCTGGAATGCATACGTTTGCGTACATTCAGTAAATTCGGGTTACAACAAGTGCAAGTAGATACGCATTATTTGCAAATGAATCTCTGGCGTTTCGTCACTGATGAAAAGTTAGTATAGAACTATACATGGAACACCTATTTTATTTCGTATTTAATTCTAGTCTCGTAAATTCTTTGCTGGATGAGATACTTGGTTCAGCTGTACATCGTTGCTTAGAATCAATTCTAATGGAGCCAAATGCCGTCGAAATTATATGCGAGCGCGGTTAGTATTACCTAGTGATTTTATCTAAATTTTTGATGTTCCGATGTCTAAAGTTTAAAAAAAGGTCGATGTGTATTAATTTTATTTATTATCTATTCTATTTGTATGCTAGCCTAATAATGGATTAATATTAGTAACAATATTCAAAAAGTTATTTCATACATGTATTCAAAATAATCATCGAAGCCTAAATGGGAATGAAATTCAGTGTCTAACAATGTATTTGTTTTAATTAATAGTGAAAACTATGCTATCTCCATCGAGATTCACTTCTCCGTCGTTGTCACTGAAATCCTCTCCTGTTGTCACCAATATATTGGTTTCACGTCCGTCGTCCGATTTAATGAGAATTACTTGCGGTGTGGAATCATCATCACTGCAATTATGGGTATATTCATTAGGTTTGCTTTGCTCTAACGCCGTTCCTACTGTTTTTTTCTTTCGTTCGTCGGGAACATCAGGTTTGGAAGCGTTTTCCCGACGCTGTTTGCGCGCCTCTTCAAACTCTTTTGGATGTATTTTTTTTCGATGTGAATGCATATTTGCATTAGAATTGAATGTCTTTGGACAATATGGACAATTATATAACACCTCGCCAGTATGCATCGCCATGTGCTCCTGTAATTAATATATACACGTGAATATGCTGTATACATAGGTAACACAAACAACTAATCGCATACCTTTAAAGTTATGGCTTTTTTGAAAGCTTTACTGCAAACATTACACTCGAAATCACGCGCTGATGTATGAACGTAACGCTGATGACTAAGGAGTGCGCTACGATTTGGTGCCTTCTTACCGCACATTTTGCAGACGTATATTGTGCCATCGTCGTTATGACGTCGTTTATGTTTCTGCAAACTATACTTATCTTTGTGCCAGGAGCCACATTTATCACATTGCACCTTCGGCAGCACAACACCAGAGTGTTCAAGTTGGTGTCGGGCAAATGCAGTGCGACCACGAATAACCTTCGCGCAAACATCACACATAGTGGCGCCGTACGTCGAATGCATTGTTTTCATATGTGTGTTTAGCAAATTACCGGTAGCAAAGCTTTTAAAAATATAAATTTTGAGGGAATTGCAAATACATACATACTTATCTACATAAGTATGTAACATCGAGTATCAAAGAGTACTTACCCCTTTTGGCAGACGTTGCAAATATGTTTTCGTTCTTCATGAATAATACGGTGCTGTTCGAGAATATAAGGGCGCGCAAATCGCTTGGGACAATGTTCGCATTTATACTGTTTCTCCTCTTCAGGCTGATGTTTGATTAGAAAATGATTTCGCATACATTGTTTGTCGGCAAACGATTTGTCACATACCTCGCATCTAAGAGAAATTATGATTTATAAAGTATGTATTTAATTATAATTTTGTTGATTTCTAAACAAACTTGTAACAATCCGGATTAATATGTTTTTCTATATGTCCTACAAGCAGTGATCGCTTGCTAAACTTCTTATTACAACAGGTTATGTATCCTTTGCATTGATGCACTTTTTCCATATGCTTGCGCAAATGGCAAAACGTTGTCTGCTCATCTCCACATTTTTCGCACGTTAAACGTATGCATTGCGCAATTTTTTCATCTATTTGTCGCATACGTTCTTCATAGCTTTCCTGTTGGGAATCGTCCGCTTTATTTGTAATCCTCTTAGTTTTCGATTTCTCTTTTTTAGGCGTTTCGTCGTCTGCGTTTTGCTTTTTAATTGTTGGTGGTCGCCCACGACGCTTCTTATTTCCAACAGAATTGTTAACATTCGGCTTTACCTCGTCAACATCATTTTTCGCGTCAGTATCTGAGCTACATTTGTCGAGTTTGTTGTCCTTTTTTGTATTAGAGCGGGTGGAATGTAGTTTACTTTCATCTGGCAAAGCAAGGGCATCTGCTGAAAAATTTCTTGTTTAAATACAAGTACAAATAACAAGAGCAATGAAGCAAAACACCTTCGTCTTCTTCCAATTCCAACATTTCGTCTATAAATGATTCAATTATCATGGAGCTCTCATCTTCATGCGAAGATATTTCACTTTTGAGCAATTTTAAGTCTTCGCAGCTTTTTTCATCTGGTGTTTGTTTATCTCGAGAAGAATCATCTATTGTTTCCTGTTCTATACCGAACTCTTTTTTGGATGTCGTGCTCGGTAAACTTGCATGCAGCCACTCGTTGGCTGCCGGCGCGTCGGTTATCGAATAACAACGTCGCTTGCGGCACTTTGGCTGTACCTCGCTTTTCAATGAAAAGCGTTCTGTTAAGAGTCGGTGAGCCTCTTCCACTATTAAATAGAATTCATTGAAACTAGATACACTGATCCAACAAGAGTTACATATTGCTGTTGAGATTGGATCGTCGCTCCTGGGCTTTACGGTACAATAAATGTAACAGGTTAGAAAAATTATTAGACGCTTTATTTTAATGTATCTTACCTCAAACCAAAAGTATTTAGCAAGCACTGCAGCCACATTAAGTTCAACGCCTCTTTCGTCGAAAATGTTAATTACCTCGGTAATATCTTTGAGGCACAAACGGCAAATCATGATTTTTTATTTGTTTTAAAATATTCACTTTGAATAATAAAACATTGGTAACTACTAAATAACCAAGAGAAAATTCCACAGCAGCAGTAAACAAAAATTATTGTAAGAAAAAGTGGTGGCAAACTATCGATGTTGTCATCGATACTATGAGTGGTGCATCACTATCGCAATTATCGTGCAAATTTTTTAACCCGATCCCGATCATTGCCCACGGAAACACAGCATAAAAGTATTCCGATACACATGGCTAGATTGATAAACTTTACACATTTCTGGCGATTTCAGAGAACGTAACGTACGTTCTCTGGCGATTCGTGAATGGCAGTCATTTTTTTCCCCTGATGGCAGAATTTTCTTAGGACCGAGAAAGAGTTTGTTTACTAAAAATGAAGGTAATTTATGTATTTTAAAGCATTTGTTAATATTAAAATTTCGTAATTTTATAGCGTATCAGTGATAAGAAACTGGAGGCTTTTGCCGTTGGTAATATGGGCAAACGGACATTGTCCAAAAAGGAACTAGAGGAGCAGAAGAAGAAAGAGGATGAGGCTGCCGCGGCTCATGTAAGCTACATACATAAATATATCTATACGGAGAGATTTTAAGTGGCTAAAATTATTACTTGGAATTACATTTTGATAGGTGTTTAAAGAGTTCGTGGAGACTTTTCAAGAAGCTCCTAGTGCCTCGTCAAAAGTTTGGGTGAAAGCCGGTACCTACGATGCCGGATCAAGGCGTAAGTCTATTTATAAATCTAATCATATGCTTTGTTATTCACCCACTTCAATTATACGTACATAACTTATAATTCACTACTCCATTTATCAGGCGAGGATAATCGGGAAAAGGGTAAATTATACAAGCCAAGTTCCAAGTTGGACGAGAAAAGTGCTGCAGAAAAAGCGCAAGAATATGCAAAAATGCTGGCCTCGGATCTTAAAAAAGATTCTGTTCCGTTGAAGAAAAAAAGTCAAGAAAAGAAGAAAAGCAATTTGGAACTGTTTAAAGAAGAACTGAGACAGTAAGTATGTAAAAATAAAGCGACTATAAAATGATCACAAGGCTTGTATCTTAAAAATTTTTAGAATACAAGAGGAGCGTGAAGAGCGTCATAAATATAAACATTTAGCTGGCCAAGTTGTAGCGCAACAGGTGGTGGAACCGGTACCCGAAATACGCGAGTGCGGTTCTTTCGATACAGGAGACCCTAACACGACTAACCTCTATTTGGGAAATCTCAGCCCTAAGGTACATACATACATATCACAAATACTTATTTAACAAAGTTTTTTATTTATTGCTTCATTGTTCTTTTTATTTTTTTTTTAAAGATCTCAGAGCAACAACTTATGGAAATTTTCGGTCGATATGGTCCACTTGCCAGTATAAAAATCATGTGGCCACGGTCTGAAGAGGAGAAGCAACGTGGGCGCAATTGTGGTTTTGTTGCCTACATGAGTCGCAAAGATGCGGAAAGAGCGCTTAGAACACTAAATGGGCGATATATCATGGGCTATGAAATGCGTTTGGGTTGGGGTAAATCCGTACCGATAATGAATCAACCTATTTTCATACCTCCCACACTTTTGGAGCTTACATTACCACCGCCTCCATCCGGATTGCCTTTTAATGCTCAACCACCACCAGCTGAAGCACAAAATTTGCCAAGAATAAACTATAAAGAGTACACAACAGAAGAAGAGAAGGAGAATATGGAAAAAGTAAAATCATTGTTGATTACCAACTAATTGAAGGACTCTATTATAATTGTTTCCCCATTCTTAGATTCTTTACCATTCCCTGGTGAAAGTATTCATTCCAACTGAAAAGTAAGTTGGAGTTACCTTATAAAAGTTTGAATTATGGACTAATTATTTAATTACAGAGCCGTACTAAATATAATCCATCGCATGATTGAATTTGTCATACGTGAAGGTCCCATGTTTGAAGCATTGATAATGAGTAGAGAAATGGAAAATCCCTTGTTTTCATTCTTATTTGACAATGAAAGTCCCGCGCATATATATTACCGCTGGAAGCTATTCTCTCTACTACAAGGAGATACACCTACAGAATGGAACGAAAAAGAATTTCGAATGTTCAAAGGCGGACCTATTTGGAAGCCGCCTATAGCGAACTTCTACACTATGGGCATGTCTGACGACCTAGTTGTTGATCCGGATGCAACGGCTGTTCACAAGGGTGCTCTTTCAAATGCGTATGTTGCTGTTTAGAGAAATTTTAAATCCACATGTACTAATGTAGGTACTTACATTTTATTATTTCAGTCAACGCGATCGCCTGGAAGATCTCTTGCGTCATATTACCCCGGAACGCTCACGCATAGGTGATGCAATGATTTTTTGTATCGAACATGCAGATGCTGCTGATGAAATTTGCGAATGTATCTCCGAATCATTGTCCAATCCAGACACATTACCTTCAAAGAAGATTGCGCGTCTCTATCTAATTTCAGATTTGCTACATAACTGCACCGTTAAAGTCTCGAATGCTTCGTTCTTTAGGAAATCGTAAGTATTTTCAAATTACAAGCCAATCAAATGTAAAAAATTGTGTATTTTGCAGAATCGAAAAACATTTAATGGAAGTGTTCGAAAATATGCACAATTTTTTTAATTCAATGGAAAGTCGGTTGAAGGCCGAGGGTTTAAAATCCCGTGTTATCAATGTAATACGCGTTTGGGAAGAATGGACAATATATCCCAAAGAATTCCTGGCAAAATTGAAGGGTGTGTTTTTGGGAAAACAGGTAAAATTACAGGGGTTTCAGTTATTTGAAAATACAGTTTTTTTTTTTTTATAATAATCATAAACTATATATAAATATATAGATTCCACCATCTCCTCCGCCAGTCGAGGAACCTATCGAGGAAGCCCACGAAGATATAGATGGAGCTCCAATATCTGGCGATGAGAAAGACGATGAAGATTTAGATGGTGTACCTTTGGATGGCGCAGCTTTGTTGAAGAGCGCATTAATGCGCGGCCTGCCTGAGGCAATGTCCATACAAAAAAGCACGCCAACACGGCGGACACTAGGAATCGATGAGGAAGATGATGATATTGATGGTGTACCATGTAATATGCAAAATCTTGCAACTTTAGTATTTTTAAAGGCACATAACTTGTGTTTTGATTTGAATTTTAGTGGAGGAAGACATCGATGGCATACCATTGGAAAAACTGCCAACTGAGTTCAGTGATACCCAGTCAAAAGCCAATGCCAAAGGCGGTGCATTCATACCATCGAAGTGGGAAACAGTTGATCCAGAACAGGTTGAGGCACAGGCTATAACCACTAGCAAATGGGATACACTGGATCCCCCACAGGCGCCAAAGTTCTACGACTCTAGCGATGATGAGCAGAATACCAATGCTACACAAAATTATGATGATGACAAACGTACGAAATTACGTGAAATTGAAGTGAAAACAATGCAATATCAAGACGAATTAGAAGCAGGCATGCGACAACTTAAGTCAGGCTGGACCATAAGTGAGCAAGTGGAGCACTTTAGACGTAAGCTCTTGAAGAAGGTCAGTTATGAAAGTAGATTTTTCATTGTATGTATTTGTGTTTAACTGTAATATTGTAATATTTTCATAGGATACGGAAACAACCGATTCGCCGCTTTCTTTCATAAATCCAAAGGACTCTCGTAGAGGCAGTGAATCTCCGGACAGCACAAGTAAACGCACACGTCGTCTTAAAAGATCGCCATCGCCAATACAATATCATAGCAGTAGCTCGCGTTCTTCGCCAGCTCGCTCGAGTTGTAAACGATCACGTTCCCCATACGTCACAAGACGCGAAGTTTCGCCATCGCCCACTCCTACTCGCAGTGCTAAATCTTCAAGACGCCATCGATCGCGTTCTCTCTCTGACTCGCCAAAACGGTACGCAGAACGTACACCGTATCTGGCGAAATCCTCTCGATATGAAAATTCACCACGTCCACGTAGATCACCATCCCCAGTTTATTCTACGTCATCGCGTTCATCGAAACGCGATGACAGAGATCGCGAACATCGCAGCGAGAAGCATAAAAGTAGACATAAGCATTAAATTATGTTGATCTATTATAGTATGCAACCCCAACTGTATACAACATAAAATATCCGATAATACTTAAAAAAAAAAATACAAAATTTATTCAATCAAACTTATGCGTATTTAGCGTGATCCATAGCTTAGTAAGGATTTTGTATGCTTGCATGCTTTGATTTTTATGGAATTCAGTTTAAGTGGATATAAACTAAGAAAGAGGAAAAAAATACACGAAAGCCTATTATACAGCTTGAAGAATTTCCTTATCACAAATTCACATATACTTAAATGTATGTAGGTATCTACGTTTGTCAGAGATACCCTAAATTCCAAAGTGTGAAAAATGTTCAGCCTATGCAACCTACTTGTAACTAGTATTAAGCCATGGTTGCGAATATTGGCAGTTTCATCTGTTATAGTTCAGAAATGAAAACGACTACCTGCTAATTGTTTGTATTTTTACATTTTGGAATTCAGGGACAAACCCAATATAATGATCGCATCAAGCCGCATTAATTTCACTCTCCTGTTTGTAAGTTTCTATGATATCTTCAATAATTTCCCAGTGCTTTTCTTTGGTCAGATCGTTAACAAACGGCTGGAAGGAAAGAATGATTAATTGAAATTAAGAAACTTGCATGATTGACTTAGCCATAAAACTAACAGTGTACCACATAGAAGCTTCATCCGATTCGTCAGCTAGTGGAACCTGCACGCCATATGACTGCAATGCCAAAGACAAACAACATATTGCCACATGAGATGGCTTTTGATTTAGGATTTTTGCACTGTGATGAAAATCTTGAAGGAAGGATGCTGCTGACTTTGCAATTGGTACTGAGGACCAGATAGTTGGGCCCAGCCAAGATTGCAGTGTTTTTATGTAGTATAATAAGTACTATAAAAATTAACATAAAATTCATTAAACATAATTAATTTAGTTTCAAAAGTTCAGTAGTACCTTGTGTGGATGCTCGAAATTTAGATCGAATTTCAAAGTACGGGCAATTAGTAATTCAGCTTGCACAAGAGCATCGCGTATCGACCAGTATTCATCCCCCAATTCTAACGGTTGAGATCCCCGATTCAGCGTACTATGCGCGACGTTGATAACATCGCGTATTTTGACCGGATCGTCTTTAATCTTGCCGGCTAGGTATAATGCAGACGCTGCAATAAGCTGCGAAGATAAAAATTTGAATGGTACTTTATAAATTCTTTCCAAACACTTGTAATTCTTAGTTACATATTCATCATAATCAGAACTGGAAACTTCATTGAAAAAGCGGTGAAAAATTATAGCGGCGCTTGCTGAGGTCAGTGGTTTTATCTGCAGTTTGATGGCGCACTCAAATAGGAAACGTGGCACAACACCAGGCTTTTCAACTTTTCTGTAAAAACATTTTATGTAAAATACTCTTTTATTTTATGAACTTCGTACCGATAATCTGTTGGTTTTTGTTTCTGCATTTTAGTTGCTTCAGCGCGTTTTTGTACTGACATTACATCCAAAATATTCTTCATTTTTATTGCGTCCTATTAAAAGCCAGTTGTGTGTTTAGTGTTGTTTACCCCGGATGATTTGAACCTGAAAAATAAGTAAGTAATTTCCTAATGTGTTTCCAAATAAGCACAGACGTCGTAAAATGTATTACTAGATATTTAAGCAATCGAAAGTGTCTGGCGATGGAACCGGTTAGGCGACACTAATGAAGTGGCCGTTCACAAATATACTGTGTTTTTGTTTTTGGGTCGGGGACTACACAATCACACATATTCACTTGTATTTGCAATCGAAAAATCTTTAATAAAAAAAAAGTAATTTATTACTCCAGGTGGTGAGGGAGTGGGTGTGCGTATAACATATGTATGTCTTTAAGAGATTGAAAGTGTAACTAAAGAATATTCCATAATTTCACCTTATTTATGTACCTGCCAGAATTAGCGAAGCAAAGAAATAGTTATCTTTAAAGTTACTTGCGGGAAGAAATTTGCCAACGACACACATGGCATATTTACACACGTTTACAACTCTCCCTTTTTACCTAAAGAACACTGATATATAAAACCAAAGGTGCTAATTTAAGGTGTATTTACTCTTAAAATTGCTTTAATTCGTCGATAAATAATTATTTCTTTAATCTAAACTTACCACAAATACTATTTGAAAAAACAAATGGACGTAAAGAAAATACTGAACTCCGTTTATTACAGGTAGTTATTGCAAAGAGATATCGGCAGGTATCGGCCATTTTTGGTTATCATAGACTGTAATCGAATCGCAATTAACAGCCCTATTCACGTGTTGTCGTAAACTGTCAGTCAAACTGTCATTATCGTGTCATCAACTGTAGTCATTGGTATGCACCAGGGATGAAAACTGGAAAATTCAGATTGTACCTAATATCATAAAATAAATGCACCTAAATGAGACAGAGTGCAATGGTGTATAGTCGTTGTGCTGGGTATGCAGTTACAGTTGCACGGCTATACCAAAGAACGTAGATAACAAGAAGGCAAGAAGAAGAAGCGAAGCAATGCCTCGGATGAGACTCCGTCGCCGAGTACTGTCATTCCCCCCGGTGGACGAGCGTCTAGCCATAATCCACATCAAAGCGAGATTCTTCAACATCTCGCTCATCTACGTCCATGCCCCGACAGAAGAGAAGGATGAGGTATCCAAGGATCTCTTCTATGAGCGCTTGGAGCGCACGTACGAGCGCTGCCCCCGCCACGATATCAAAATCGTGCTTTGCGACTTCAATACCAGGGTAGGCAAGGGAGTGATATTTGGAAGCACTGTCGAAAAATTCAGCCTCCACGACGAACGGACTGAGGCTGATCAATTTTACCGAGGCCCGAAACATGATAGTATGCAGTACCAGGTTCAAGCATAAAAAGATTCATCAAGCTACGTGGATGTCTCCGGATCGAAAAACGAGAAACGAAATCGATCATGTTGGGATAGACGGAAGGCAGGCAGGACGTACGTACACTCCAGGCCCAAACATCGACTCGGACCATTATCTTGTTGCAGCAAAAAATGTGCGCCTAAATATTCAAAGAAAGCTTAACGTCGAAAAGCTGCAATCACAACAGGCAGCCAATGCATTCGCTACTGCTGTGCTCAGAGAGCCCTCTTCAACAAACCGACATATGCGAGCAATGGAACCACATTTCGCGCCCATTAAGTACCGCCGCCGAAGAAGTAGTCGGATTTCAGCGAGCCCGAAAGAACAACTGGTACGATGAGGAGTGTCAGAGAGCTGCAGAGAAAAAAGATGCCGCCTGCAGAGCCACACTGCGATCGGGTGCAACGCACGCTATGTGGGACTGCTATAGGGATCTGAAGAGGGAAGCGAGACGTATTTGCCGCAATAAGAAGAGAGAGGCCGAAATACGTGAGTTCGAAGAGCTTGAAATGCTGGCCCTGAGGAAGAATGCCCGAAAATTTTACCAAAGAGTTAGGCGACTTACGGAAGGTTTCAAGACCAAATTATGAAGGGAACACTTTTCCACGCTACTGAATGGTAGCAGTATGGAAAGTTGTGGAGAAGAAGAACCCGAGCTCCCAGTCGATGATGACCGAGTCGATGTTCCTCCGCCTGACTATGACTATGGTTTTTTTTTTCAACACCAATAATTATTACTAAAAAACTGCTTAAAATTATTGTAACCAATAGAGGTATGTTGTACACAAACACATAAATTGAAGTTCACAAAGGTCGATATAAAACTATTCGTCGATTTAAATAATTAACTTTTTACTGCATATGTTTTTTTACGAGAAGGAAGCATCGAAAGCCTACCTCCGTCAGTGTGAGACTTTAACCCAAACTAAACCTCCTACCGTCATGTACCGTTCCCCACCCGGTACCACCGCCAAGGATTGCATCGGGATAACAACACTGTGTGACTGATAAAGTTATAGATCTAGTGATGCACAAAAAATATGCATACTTAGAATGTTGAATACCCCCTCACATTCTGGACATAACGCGTTTTTCGTAATTGTTCGTAACTTAATTTCTGTTTATCCGATGAAATATATATACAGTGCGTACACGGTAACCGCAACCCTCAATACGTGCAATTCCTTGATTAATGCAAGTCACTAAAACAAAACATTGTAACCTTATAAGTGCAACTTCAAAACAATTTTACCTCAATACCTACCACTTTCTTTGTTTATGTATGTCATGCACACAAAATTTGAACTTTTTGCATTTTTTGATTAACTAGTATTCTGGAAAAACTACAAAGTGGTGTTTCAGTTAAAGTAATGTGTGATGAGCAGGACCGAAGAAAATAAGCTGAAAACATTAAAACTTTAGTAAATATGCTTCACTATTATTAAAAATAATGCGGATTAATTTCTTTTTAATTTATTTAATTGTTTTCAAATATTTGTTATGCTCCATTTGAGTTAATTATTTTTAATCTCTTCAATAACACCAATGCCTTCATATGTCACATTATTTTATTAAATAGAACACACGAAAGTATCTTATTTTTATGTTTGCCATTCCGAATTCAGTTTTGAAACTCACTCGCGATGCAAAATTACATCGTTATATTTAATCTTCACATTTTTTGTTGAGCTTTGGGAATTTTGGGAAATTTGTTAGAATTGAACATCAGGGGCTCAACCGAAACCAGTAAATTTTTGAAAGGGGTCTACGAGAAAAAAAAAGTTTGGGAACCTATGGTATACTATGTAATATACCTCTGCGATTTTGTAAGATAAACTAAAAATGTATACATCGTTTTAAACCGTAATTATTTGAGAAGTAAAAGACTTGGCTGTTCACCAAACCGTTTTTTGTTGTTTTTTGTGATTTGTACTGAGTATTTCTTTTAAATTGAAAAACTAAACGGGGTTACGTACATATTTGTGTACCACATGAATACCTTTCTAATTCAATATTTTGCTCAATTCAAAACACTGCTTTGTATGAACTTAACTCTTGTTTATTAAAAACGTTTATTCGAAAAAATACAAATTTACTTAAGCAATTAGATGCATATGCTTATTATTTTATGTATCTGATATTATTGTTTATGTATTAATTCAACAAATACTTAGTGAACTATGTACTCCAAATAGAACGACACTATATGTGCCTTTATAATTAAAAAGGTCGGATGCTCCGCGGGGTGGATTTTGTATGAGGACACGCTTCCCATCCGGACTCCACAACACTGAGGAAACTGCCAGATATCAGAAAAATCGTTTTGAATTTTGGACCATTGTTCTTTTGATGCTGGTACCTTCAATGCAAAAAAGTCTTATTATATAACGTTTTGAAACCGCTAAACATTCTACCTGAATATACTCGTTCAAAACCTCATATATAGCGTCGAGTACATCCTTCAAAAATAGGGATATGGTGTTCTCTGGTACTCGAAATAGTTGAGTAATTATCACCTATTTGCCAAAAATGTTAAAGTAACTTGCAATTTAATTATTGGTGAGAGCGCGGCACGCATATTTGTATGCTTTTTTTTTATTAAAGCTGCAATTTTTTAGAAGATAATTGAACTGTACGGCCATTCTTAAACGCTGCTGAAAGTTTTTCGGGTCGTCTGAGGCAAGCTCCTTGTACAAATGATCGAAAGTGTCCAACAATTCACGCTGATGAACACATTTCCTTACCCATATTCTGCGTTTCCCATTTCCTTGCGTAGTTCGTTAATTAATTTTTTTTATAATTTCTTTAGCAATTATGTTGATGCTAAGTTTTAAAAATTTTCTTCAATTCATATTTAATATTTTATCGAAATTTTAAAAAGTTAACGTTGATATTTGAACTCGTTCAACTTTTGTCGCCCGTGTATGAGCAACTTCTCAGGCAATTTCACAGGCGATGTTGAATCGCTTAGAAAATCGCCTCATGTAAATGCCGCTTAACGGAAATTCGTCCCAAAATATGTATATAATCAAGCACATACGTACATATCGTCACCTGAAATGCAAAAAGAGGTAAGAAACATCGTCACTGAAATGCAAAAAGACATAACTAATAAAAAATTCAATATTCACATTTTGTTTGATATGTCCATCATATTTCATCGAATTACAATTCCCACCTCATTTAATGAAAAAAAATTAAATTATTAGTCACGACTTTCTACATTTCAGTTACGATGTTGTTACGTCTTTTTGCATTTCAGGTGACGATATGTACTTACATCTAATAAAAACAAATTTGAGAAACCAAAACAATTTTCAATTGCATTAAAGTTGGTTACGTTTCCTTGCATTTGAAATAACCACAAAAAGACGTGAAAAAATCTGTTTTTATGTTCTTTTTACAAGCTTTTATTTAACTTGCTATGTATTTATGTATGTATGCTAGTATGTTTGTTTAGGTCAAATCTGGCAATCTATTTTTAACCAACTTCCCGATAAGCTAGAGACTTGAAGTTCAAACTGAGAACACCGATGACAATCCAACATTCAGTATTTATTTACAGATTTGGTTCATATTTGAAAAGTACATTACCTAAGGAAATAACTCCAGAAAAAACGTAGCCGGGAGGTGGCGCGGGGCGATATATTTCGAAAACCTGCATGTACGCTTTCTGATAAATTCCTGTAAATTCATGCAACTTCTTCTTAGTTAGGGAAAGCAACTATGGTTTGATTTACGTTGAATTTCTAATATAAATATTTATATTACTAACATGAAAAAAATAACTCATAACGAAAACTCAGCACCGCATGTCGGTGAAGTTGCCATTGCTTCTCTCTCTCTATCAACAGTAAATTTGATATGCTGCTACGCACGTCAACGTACGTTTACGCTACGTCGTTGACTGTTTGAGCTTTTAAGCTACTATTGATTTTTCGTACCTCAGTAGATGTACTAACGGCAATCTCGTGCGTTGAAAAGTCTTTGTCTACGTTATTTCTGTACAAGAAAAAATCATTATAGTAATATTAAGTTAGTAAAAGTAAGCATCAGATAACGTTTCAAAGTTTTCCGCTTTCCAGTTTAAGTGAGTGGGTAGTTTTAAAATGAAAAACAGTTCATAAGCATAATATTTAGCAAACAAGCTTGCTAAAACGAAAAAAAAAAATAAATTAACATTTATAATCTTTCCTGAAATGTTTTTTAAACATGCTGGCGAAAAATATTGACCTTTGAAAATGTCCGTGAATTCATGTAACATTCAAATTCAAAGAAACATCATCATGCTCATATGTATGTACATATGTATGTATATAAGGAAGCGCACTTCGTTTATAAATA